CGAAGAGCGCGTCGTTTACATCGTATATCGAAGCGGTCCGATGCGGATGATGCACGATCGCCGGTGATGAATGAGCCGCGGCTTCGATCTCATTAATTAATGGAAGTGGCCGGAATTCGATGGAATTCGCGGATGCGAATTCGACGAAGCGAATGCCGGCTGAACGCATCGTGAATCGATAGTCGGTGGTTTAGGAATACGTTTTTCAAGAAATATCAGATTGGTCTATTCTTTGTGCGAAAATATTTGAACAAGAGATTAAGACTTGGACTCAAAAGTGCACAATGATATATATATGTTTTCAACTATAATGACAATAAGAGAAAACTCTACATCATTTTTCAATAAATTTTAAATAAATCTTTCTTTTAATTTAGCAGTCATTTAAATCGATAGTTATAAAGAGTACATAAACTTTATATATATATATATATGAATTTCAAATTACTAAATAAATTAAAAAAGGTCTATATTATACACGAGAAATCATCAATGATAATTTGTTCGCAAGGATGCAACAACTTTTGCAATAATTTCTTCGTCAAATGATATAAATTCAACGTACGTTTACAATCACCATTATGCGGTCCAATTACATAAGTATGCCTTTCACATGATAGACATACGCACATCTAATTGAAGAGCAACCCCTGACGGATCATCAGACATGTCAGCTGTGATAAGACAAAGGCGACAGATCGTGACTCTTTCCGTAAGGGAGCGGCGCCGAACTCGATGTGGGTTACAGTAATATCTTTTTTTTCCTTACGGGGAAAGTACGCCCCGTCGAGTTCCCATCGGCCCCGAGAGACCGACGGTATTACAAGTAATTGTCGCCCTGGGGAGGACGCAGATCGACCCTATATCCACCCCAACCCGATCTCGAAGCGAGATGGAGCGAGGGTGTGGGAAGAAGGAGGTGAAACGAAGGAAAAATAGGTGGCAGAGAGAAAACGAAGAAAAAAGGATAGAGGAAAAACACGACACGGAAGAAAACACGGTAGTACGCGGAAATGGAGGAAAACGTATAAGTGAAGTAAGAACGTCGGAGAGAATAACACGGAATGTATGGAAAAAGAGAAAGAGCGGGTTCGTGAAGAAAAAGGAGAGAAGGAAAAGGAAAAAAGGAGGTTTTGAAAAAAGTCTGAAAGCGAGCGGAGAGAGAAGGAGAAGAGCACGACGTCGCTAGACTGCGACACCCTTCCACGTTTTCCACGAGCCCCGCGCCGGTCCCCGAGTAAGGGAAAAAGTAGCGAGGAACTTTCGCCTAAGTGGATGATTCACAAATCATTCCCGATTCGTCCCACGCCATCCCACCCCGATGAGAAACTTCGTTTCAGTCTATATCCTTGCCCAGAACGACCAATAACTCGCATCTCGCTGCAGGCGAGGAAAGAGGATGGCAGGAGGACGATGTGGGAAGAAATAAACGCGCGATGCTCTCCGATTCGCCGTCGCGCGAATCGAGAACCTAATCGAGGGTGCTATCGCTCGAACTTGCTTCCGCCTTCCGTGTTACTTCGCGATCTCTTTTTTTCTTCCAATGTCCTTTCGCTTCATTCCATTTTTCACTGTCGCACTCTTCACGTCTCCCGCGGGCAATCTCTTAAGATGAAACATCTTAAAAGTGAAAAATAGCGTTTCCTTCCTGTTCGTGCCGTCAACAACGAGGTCGACGAGGCGATTCCGTCGACATTTCGCGACTGCGAATGCCAGAGGAATTATGCACACGAGAGCCTTTCGTCGCGATCGATTTGTTTGTGGGGAGCAATTCAATAGATGAAACCGTCGGATAAAGCGAAGAACTAAGTGTCATGACTCATCGATCGAATCCGCCGGTTTAGATGACCGGATTAGTTGGAACCTACATGGTGATATCTAACAAGAGATCCTTTCGTCTGATCACAGAATGCGCAAACCATGCGACATTCTGGTGAGTCAGAATTACGAAGGACGTGTAGCGTTCCCATGATAGAAGAAAAGTTCTTGCTTTCGATGAACCGATAAAGCCGGATAAAGCTACGCTTAATCGAGTTGCTGCTGAATGTACTATGAGGCATTATATCTCGACGTTCACGAATGTATTGTGGGTGCTTTTTCCATGCTTTTAACAGGCAACAAGAAACTTCCAATGTACTCATAAAAATATTTCGATATATATCACAGTATACATATGTCACTGTATATGTATCATTTATATAAAATTGCTAAATTTTCACACTTTGTTCCAATTAGATAATTTAATAAAATTTGAACTATAAAAAGATGCTTAATTTAAAAAAAATTTTTTTAGGAATTAAAAAGAATAATATTTAAACATAAATGCAATACAACACAAGAAAGTTCTGCTTTTCTCAAAATTGATTTTATAAGACATAGCTTGACAAAATATGTTGACGGTTTTATTTTAATTTAACATCGATTTTTAGCAGCAAAACAATTTCAAATTAATTAAACATTCGCACAAAAATTCTGTGGCAGATGAAGCCATAAACCTGTCGTATCTACACGAAATTAAGCGACCAATTTCTGCGCACACTCTCATCCTCATTCTGGCACACATTGTTCTTCCATTCTTTTGTGCCAGCTACGGCCGTTCCTAGAAGCTACTCCTCCATCGTATCGAAAGCAAGCGAGAGATAAGACGAAACGACGGGTCCGTGATCACGGAAATGGTGCGATTTTGCGCGACTAACGAACCTATGGATAAGTCCACCAAGATAACGGGCGAGAGTAGAGGGACTGGAAAACACTCTCCACGGGATAAGGTGGATCGTTGTGTTATTCCCGCAACGACAATAAAGCGCCTACCTCGTAATGGTACCGGGAGTACGCTGTATATCTACGAGCGTGTGGAAGAACGATCTTTTCAACGATCGCGACGCGGCCGTCGCGGCCAGGATTCGTGGCGCAGACATATTGACCTTTTACGGACGCTCGTTCTGAAAATCTCGAGATTCAATGAAACCGCGATACCGAGACCTATCAACATGAATGGTGACAAGAAAGAACGCGTCGACGTCGTCGAAAGTAAAAACTTTACAATCAACTAACCGGAAACAAATCGATATAGGCGCTCTCTCTCTCTCGATATAGAAGTTCCTTTTTTGTAACCCTTATTCCTATTTATATATTAATCTTATAATAATTTTATTAAGTTACACTTGTGGTAAAGAAAAACATCACAGCAGAATATAATATTTAAAATAAAAAATTTATATAAATATTTACATAAGTTATATTTTACACCTACTGGATTATAAACGATTAACATAAAATAATTATTTATTTATAAGTTAATTAAAATTCTGTTTGTAATATTTTGTTAATTTTATGAATAAATATTTCAAACATACGAATATTTCTCGCCAGAGATTTCAGTTAATCAATTTACATAATTATTTCTCTCGTTATATGGATAGTCAAATATTTAAATACTGTTGTATTTTTACAAGTTAATCATATACATACTTCTTCTATTTAATTCTTTCTTAAATTCATTATTGCTCTATGTTTTAAGTCATATTACCCGTTTTTATAAATTAGCATTTTGAAATAAATATTAGCTTTATTATTTTCTTTTTTTTACTTTTAATATATAATGAATTTAATATATTTTTAATTTATTTTACATTTAATATAATATTTGAAATAATATGAGAAAAAAATGATACTTGAAATAATCAATGCAAATTCAAAAACTTTAGACATTATATCAAAGAAAAATTTCTGATTATTTTTTTGTTATCTTAATTAATATATAATTTTAATTATTGCATTTTTAATAAATATTTCCTCTATATATATTCTTGTGTCTGTCATTTTCACGAAAAAAAGTTTTCCATATAATATTTTAAATTATATTTTATATTTTAAACAAAACATTATTTAAGTGACTATTTTCAATATTGTGCGCTTGAAACATACCCGTTGCTTGTTGTATAACAATGTGCCTAAGAAAATATTCAAAATACTTGAAAACGTGGTCTCGAGCAAGACTTGTGAAAAATAGATGTTAATTGTATTCTACCGGTATGTTCCTTACAAATCTCAAAGAATGTTTCAAAAAACAACTATTGCACGGGAATGATACTTAATATTTCTACTTCTCAATATTTGTAAGCAAAGTCATCAATAACCAGTGCGTATAATAATAGATAAATCGAAATCAATCGACAAAGATTATTATAGCAGTTACAACCAATTAGATACGCAGCGGTAGTTGCGGAATGGATGTTTCCTCCTGTCGTTTAATATCCCGATCGAGGGAGAGCGCCGGCGACTTTTCACGTTTTTTCGCGTCCTACATCTCGTCGCGAGGGGTTTCGAGGGCGCGTTCGGTTTCCTTGGTGACCGAAGGGAGCGCAAAACCGAACCACACTCCGACTCGTTCCGTCTCTTTCACGCCCACGCCATCTATTTGTATTTCATATTGATAGAGTATTGATACAGCCCTGTACCGTCGTGTACCTCGCCCCGACGAGCCCCCTCTTAACCCTCGGCGAGCAACCCCGGTAAACCACCGTGACGGGCCACCCAGCGAAACGTAAACGAGGATACCCCCGTGTGTTGCCGTACTGGACGGGTCACGTGTTTACTTTGTTCCGCATTGTTGCGTCTCGTTAATGGCCGGCGGAAACGTTTTGCTCTCCGAGCACACGGGAGATCCGTTTCAACATTTCCCTCGGCGACGCAAATATGCATCCGCGTATCGTGATTTCTTTTGTAAGAGAGGTCTTGGAAAAGACTCCACCTGGATGACGGAAGGTACCATTTTCCGGAGATAAGACGCGGTTCGTTCTCTTTGTGCGCGGTTTGTAATAATATCGCGCAACGTATATATACGTGCATTAAAAGAGCGGACGTTTTTGGTTTAGAGTAAAAATATCTAACAAAGACGAAATAAATAAACATTAAATCGATGTTAAAATTGTAATATGTAAGCACGAACGTTCGAGACACCCTCCGTTAGAGATGGTTCCTCTCGTGAATATACATACCGGGTGTCCTACGAGGCTTTGCCATGAAAATTCTAGGTCCGCTATGTTCGCCGGCACAGGAACGACGAAATTCATCGCGTACGTGTTGACCACCCCCTCCCGCACGTAGTACAACTCGGCCTCGAGTCCTGAAAGCAGAATAGCGAGGAGTGTATATCGATTGGGCGATCAATTATGAAAAAGCTGTACCGTCGCCGGCAAAGTTTCCCTTCGCCAACCCCGATGAATCGACCGATCGCAGACTACGGCACGTGCAGTCGCCCTTCTCGTTATAAGTTGAGGACATTGACCACAGTCGCGTCTTCTTTGCATGAAGTATCGCAGTTGTACGGAATACCTTTCGTATGGAAACTTCAGAGACGGAATAATTTCGCCATTCGGCAACACGCGAATCGCGCAGTTCAGAATCATCGTTGTACTTTCGATACAATTCTAATTCAATCTTTCATATATTTTTTTTACTTTCATATATGTTTATTCTTTACATATACTTTTACGGATCACTGAAGAATGAACGTATTAACGCACTGTATTCATTTTATTATCACATTATATATTTATAGCTTTATAATTTGTAGAAATATTTATTGAAAAATAAAAGAAAAGAACAGAAAGGAAAATGCCAGTCACCAGCAAACGTCGAGGCGCGATATCGGCGTGGCAGGTGATCGAGATCTAATGCGACGATTATTGTCGGCATATATTTTCCACACGGCGCGGAATCATATCTCGACGATGTCTACCAAGAAATAACCAGGAGGATTCCAGGAACGGATTTATAATACGGATCCCCGTCGATGCCAGATATATCCACCACCCTCTCTCCGTTCTTCGTTCCTCGCAGCTTTTTCAACACGGATCATGATCTGAAAATTCCTCCTGAGCATTCGCACGTACAGTCGCGTCTCCCCTCCCTCTTTCCTCTTCCTCTGAAAAATCTCCTACGTCGAATAAATACACAGGGATCTGAATTTTCCCGGTCGATCGGATGCGTCATCCGTCTGCTTTCACGTATGACTACGCAATTCGATATCACGCTCGCGAACAAGCTCTATCAGACGTACATGCGTCATATTCGACGTCATGCGAACCGTGTGTCGCGTGGTCGCGTTTGCCTCGCGATAAGATTCCTTTAAAGAAGCGCGATATTCAGATCCGGAGTGCTGCACAATCTCGGTAGAGGAGAAGCGCATAAAAGGCTGTACAAGAGAAAATAGAAAAAGAAAAGGAGCAGAGGGAAGTAGAAAGGATGTTCTATAAATCTCTATATCGTAGAGAGTACGTTGTGAGCGAGCGGAAACAGCACATGTGACTTGGTAGAAATTAATAGTGTTAAAAACCGAAAAGTTCTCTGCCTCCTCATAAATCGTGCTATTCGCCCTCAACGTGTTTTTCGAGTAACGCGCGCGTTTTAGTTTGCAGTTGTAACGAATAAGTAGCACTCTTTCTCTCAGCAATTATTTCTATATATTTATAAATTTGAATAATTATGTATCATATTCTTGTCGGAAGAATATTTTTATTGTTTTATACGCATTATTATTTCAAACATCCTGACATAGCGGATTGTATATTGAAGTCAAGAAAGTTCTGATTGCAGTAACAAATGAGAAAGACGGTCTGACTCTGTAGAGAGTTCTACTACTGCTTTTGTGCTTTCGGTTCTTTGATAGTCAAAGGACTCTATAACATTTAATTTCTTGTTTGCAATTGTGTCATGTATTTATATTCATTTCTAGAAATATATTAAATATTTTATACTTCCCTTAATAAAAGCGCGAAAAAATATAATATTACTATTTTAACAATATTCTGTACATATAAAAATTACAAATAGGTATATTTGTGTCTAAAATCATACAAAAATATTTGTAGATCTATACTATTTATATTTCCGTATATAAATCTATATTATCTATCAATTGCAAAATAGAATAACAATAAAATTGGAAACTTTAAAAATCGTAATGGGGCTGTACAGTCTGTATTTCTACGAGCAAGGCGTCGAAGCGAGACGCAAATGCTTGTGATACGGTTTAGCGAGAGCTTAGCGTTTCGTGAATATACGTATACATTGAAATGCTAGTAGTTGAAGTTTAAGGCGGCATTGAGCGGGGAGTCGAGGGTAAGCGTAGTAAGAAGATTAAGTAACTTTCTACTCCGTGCCCCGGGTCTTACGAACGGAAGACTAACACTCGGCAGAGAAACTGATAATGACAGTCAGCCGTATATTAAGCGAAGCATCCGCGAAATCGAATTAATCCCTCTGTACTCCATTTTATTATCAGGCGTTAATCCCGGCTAAAGTGGAGAATCGTGTCTGACTAAGTAAACGCGTTACCACTTGCACTTCAAGATGCCCCGCGAAACTCATCGCATATAATATATCGCTGCCTAGTGATATTATATTACGTGTGTAACGTAAATCCTGATGAATGTTCGTATGTATATTTTCTTTTTTGAAAAAACATATTTTATTATTTTATTCAGAAAATTTCTTCATAATTCTGTGTAATATAATAAAATATTTTTTATTTTCTTAATAAAATTATATGTAATTTTAAATTATGAAAATAAGAGTGACTCATGCTATTTTCATATTAAAGTAACGTGAGTCTCGCTTAAATAAATCAAAATCCCATTGTATTAATATGAAATTTCGAGGCGAATCCACTTCTCGGCATCATCAAAGTTCGCACTCGACCCATCGTAAAAATAAAACGAGTTACTTTCTAACAGGAAACTCTTTATTGCAAATGCCAACGAGCAATTAGCTTTCGGTTCCGGTCAATTAAATCGCGAATGACTAGATGCAAACAAACAACCGGAAAATCACGAATCTTTATTACCTATCCACCGCGTCGCAAAATAACCGGCATGCAAAGTCGGAGATATTTATACGTCAGTTTATCAGTCGCAACTATCCCGCGGGAATGCCGCACACGTAAAACGGGAACGACTTCGAATATGGCCGAGGAATCGAGCGCGAGCTTGCCGAGAAGAAGAGGGAGAGTGTGTACTCTCACTCTCTTTCTCCCACGCGCGTCGTAGAAAAGGTTCTGAAACACGAAACTCCACCGCGTGTCGGAAAGCCAGGGGTGGAAAATATTTCAAGAAGATAAATCTTAGCCGATCCCACGAGAAACGGACACGCGCAAGCAACTAACTCGGGTGGATTAAGTTCCGCGATATCACCCGGGGGTTTCGAGTGGAACAACAAATGGACATAATCAGGTTGCACCGCGCACTATGGCAGACCGTTGCATTATGTTGTCGAGATTACGTGGATACTACATAGACTCTGCGATCGTACCGTAAGTTCCATTTCACGACACTCAGGATCTTTGTTTTGGTGTGTTGAAAAGTTCGAGACGGCGAAAAGTTGTCGCCGCACGCATACACAAGCGAACATTTAATTATACTACATACCACTATATGGTTATATGGTTTCACATAGGTCCCGCATTCGTATAAAATAAACAGAATGTCCAATTATAATCAATAGAGTCAGATATCTTGGAAATTAAATTAGATCTTTTTTTTTATATCTTATTTTATGGTTTCGAGAGGAAAGTGATATATATCAAAATAATTTCTGTCTAAAAAAAGACACCAAGGTAATGTCAAGCTCATTTTCTTTTTGTAACTGGAATTATACTTAAATTATATAGTTTTATATGAATATTGATTTTCCTAACTGCTACATATATAATTGAAATTGAATCGCGGAAAGTTAATAATTTTGTAACTTATTTTGATATTCTACGACATAAAATATAAAATATGAAAAATTATAAAATAATATAAAAAGAAAAAACCTAATTTAATTTAAAATATGTTTGGTTTTATTCATTATAATTTGACACCATATGTTTGTGTAATATAGAATCAAATTTACTATATGTATACGTGTTCGGAAAAAATAAGTTATAATATGTATTCTTTCTCTTGACAAATAAGTATTTTCTTAAAGAGATTTCGACAAATTTATATCTTTATTTTAATCGAAACAAAAAAATGTACAAAGTACTATATACTTCGCATTTTTCTAACTTCTTAACTTTTATTAATAAAGTTTTCAATAAAGTTTTTTTATTGTATATATCAGCCATTTAAAAGTTAGTTGAAAAATAAAATATTTGTTTACTTATACTTTTTTTTATGTATTTCAATTTTAATCGTATACATATTCATAAAACTTTCATATTGCACGGCAATCTTTTCGCAGTCCTTTACATATCGAGTTTTCAAAAAGTACTTGCTAAAATATAAAAGTTTCCTATCTTTCGAAGCATGGAAATTCCACAAGACAAATCTGAATGATGTGGCGTATACATGCGAGCGCGTGTATAAATATCACTCATTTTATCTTTTATTACATAGTTTGTGTCCCTTTCATATGATAAAATCGCGGTCAAATCCATCAAATCTTGTGACGTATCTCCCACAAGCACTCGCGCGAGATCACGGCGGGTCATAGGGCGATCTATCAATTTGCCGTCGAGACGGCAAGGAAGGAAGAATTTAGGAAGAAGGGTGGCCAGCTCTCCTGTCTTATCCCGTGGGAGATAGCTCTCCACTGGAAAAGAGTACGGGAACAGAGAGGATAGGTTATGGGTGCTTCTTCAAGAATGAAACCTCGTTTACGTGCAAGCCTCCCTGCTTTGATGGCGTTAAGTAGAATATCGTGTTTGGCATATGAACGACCAACGACTATTTTAGGCCATTAAAACAAAGTGCGATTTCATCTACTGTGTTATCCTCTCGATTATCTCTGAACAAGAATATACCATCTCTAAAAACTACAATTATCTCGTATATTTTCATTGATAATCGACAGATAATTGACTATTGATTATTTGCCAAATAGCTTTTTCTTAATTAAATACAGTATTTAGAAACTTGTTGAGAGGCGATTGAGTTATTATATGTGAAATTGGTTGTACGTGTCGTTTTGAGGCAGAAAGTCTCGTTCTAGAGGCATATATCGTACTAGGAAAATTGAATTAGCATAGGGATTGACGTTATATCGCAGACTGATACGACGCCAAATTGAATTTGAAATGAACGCGTGCGAGTAACTGCGTTTCGTGCGATGTCCTCTGTCAATAATGTAAACGGTTTGTAA